GCAGTTTGGAAGTAATTTAATGCTCTTTTCCAACGAACTCCTTGGCATCAAACCTGAATTTCTCGCGAACAGGGCCATAAATATCGGTTAAGGGGTCGAGGAATTCGCAATAAACAGCAGCGACGGGAACGACCCCGGGGTTTACCAGCGAAAAGAGCGAGCGCCAAGTTGGAAAAGCCACACTACTCTCTGTCGGAAGTACAACGTGTTCTCCAGAGAGCCTGGAGAAAATCGATAAAGTTAGACACGCGGGCACGGCCCCGAAAAACGTTCCGTCTCTCGCTCTTCACGAAAGAGGCCCCGAACCGGCGAAAAATTTTGCCGACTCGGGGGCCTGGGCCGGGAAAGCCGGGGCCCCGGCTAACGATTGGGGCCAGCGCTGGAGCCCTCTTGCGGGAAAATGGGGCGGCTGACAGTGGAGGTGGTGCCGCCGCGTCGCCACCCTCTCGCCCACCACCCACCGGTCCAGCAGCTGCAATGCAGCTTCCCGAGTGAGCTCTCGCGTGCCGCCCCCGGGATGCCGCCTCCGCCCAGCCGCCCCCGCCGACAGCCATGACCAAAATCTGCGCCCAGTTCGTCGGCACCATCAGCCGCAGCACTTCCTCCTCCTCCTCCAGGTGAGTCCGCTCTCCCGCCCCCGCCTACGCCGCCTCCACCCGAATCCCGATGCTTCCCAACCCCACTGCCGCCCCCGACATAATCGGCCTCCGGGGACGAGTGGCAACCCCGGAAAGGGCCAAATGCCGGCCGGCCACGTGACCTTTGACCCCCGACCGACGCGGGTCACGTGATTTTCCGCCTCAGCGGCCGCCTCCGGAGGCCGCCCGGTGAACACAATCGATGCCGTCGTGAATTGACAGTTTGGCGTTTTTGGCGCGCGACGTGAATTCATTAAATTTGTGTTCTGTTCGTTCCACTCTATGGCACTGAATTATTACTACGCACAATTTTGTCACCTTCCCGGCATGATAGATGCATATTATTTCTACATGTAACAAAACGGACGGAGCTATTTCCAGTATTTCGCCAATCGGCCATCTTTGTTCCTTCTGTTTACACTCGATTTTTTACTCCAGTTACTTAATTTGATCCACATTTTGAACAATAAAGATTCACAAAAGAATTTACATTCATTAAAAATATAATATTCTTGTGGTTTTCTTTTATTATAAAAATTAGTTTAATTTTCAAAATGACAGTTTTAAATTCAGTCCATATTCGGAATTTTGCTATTATAAAATTTTGAAAATGATCAAAAATCTATCGAGCTCCTCGTTTTCTTCAGCAACTCCGGTCCAATGGACACACGTTTGACTTTGCTGCATCAAAATTTGCACCCTCTCTTTGATGTATCAAAGGGTTGAATGACACTCCAGATACCTTTCTTCTCCACCGGCGTGCATTATTATTTTCTAACAACAAAAACACAAGTGATTTGCCGCACTAGAGCACTCCTTTGATCTGAAAAACTCGGCACCGAGTTTAATCTTTGCCTGTCACAATTTTTTTCTTCTTAATATGCAATCTTTGCGACCGAAAATAAAGTGAATCAGCTGGAATTTTCCTTATTCAAAGAACCCAAAGAAAAAAATTATGAATTTTTACTCTGCGCCCCCAGGGGAGGAGGCGATCAGCAGAGAGTGATTAAGGGTGGTTTTGTTGATTGGTGTGACTAGCGAGAGCACGATGTTGTTGGCGGTTTTGAAGAGACAATGGAGGCTATGGCAAATAAATATACATTAAGAGCGATGGGAAAGACGAGCTACTGATCAAATAAAAAAGTAGCAGCCAGCCCGACCGCTCACTCTCATCCTCCAGATTAGGTGTAGCAAAAATCAATGCCTTTCCACCATTGAAATGCTCGCGACTTTTTCTTTCGGCGCCACGCTCTGCTCGAATATAAAACTATTCCGACGCCCTCGCTTTAGTGTATTATGTTTCGTGTGGGATTGGTTTTTATGAAACACACCCGCCGTGCCGAGATCTTGCATGCAGGTGTTTCCATTTTATGGCACCATTCCGTGCACAGAGGTGATGGATTTTGCGGGTTTAAAAATGTGAAAAAATTAGAGAGAGAGATCGATTTTATTTTTCATTAGAGTTAAAAATTTAAAGATGTTAAGCAGATTAATCAAAATTTTATTCATTGATAATTTGAAATTCATTTTTTTGATCAATTTTAAAATGACAGAAAGGATCACCACTCATCAAAGTAAAGAATTATTAAGAATTTCTTTTAGAAAATAGCTGGCATAATATAGTGGAGATTCTCTAAATAAATCAAGGAGTATTTTATTTCCTTATTTGAGGGCAGAAATCAATAATATAATGATGCCGATATCCACCAAATCGTTTAAACAAGAAATTTTTGACAAAATTATATGAAGTGAAATTCAATTCAACATTTTTTGGATAAACATAAAACCACAAAAGATTATTTTCTTAAAAGACTGCAGCCAATATTAAGAAAATCGAAAAGGTCTCTGACTAAATAGGCGGTGCAAAAAGTTAATAAATTTAATATTTTTCCCATCCTTATATTTTGTTTCAATTTTACAAATTAAAATAAAATTACTTTCATTAATCTTGCAGTGAAAAAAGATTTGCAGCGTCAATAAATTTTATTTGATACAACAGAAATATTTAACATGACAACACCGGCTATTCTCACTTAGTTCTCGGAATTTTATTGCAGCAATAAGATCATTTTTGCAAATTCGCACACTCATATGCTTGACGGTGCAATTTCGAAGAGCATAGCGGGGCGGTATGTTTGGGTCGGGGGACAATTGAGCGGCCGCGAGTTTCAAGTGGGCCTGCAGAATAAATAGAATAAATTGACGACAGCTAAAAATAAAATAAAGGGTGACGTCACGGACAGAGAGGGCATTTGGAGCAGAGAGCACTACTTGTTGGCTGCCCCGGCGTCGCTTTCCTAGGAGGAGCACAACGGAGATGCTGGGAGGGAACAAGCGGCTCCAGCGCACCGACCGGTGTGTTTCGTTTGGCTGCTTCAATTTTTAGAGGAATGCGAAACACGTGGGATTTATATTTTAGACAGGGGCCATTAAGTTTCTAACGTCACGGCTTTATGAAATTTTGGATCAGAATTTAACAAGAGAGGTCCATAAGTTTAAAATACGTGTTCGAAAGCAACAAATGAAAACCATCGGTGGAGTAAAATTTGTCATATACAAATCTCGACTTGGATCAAAAAATAAAAATTTAAATTTATAAATGGTTCGTTCATAATTTAAATTTTGATTTAATATTATTTTATATTTAATTTAATTACAAATATTCAGAATTTAACATTATTTATAAATGAAACCAAATATCCGATAAGAACTTGTCCAAGATTTTTATAATAAAATTTTAATGATAATATTTTATTTTCGTCAAGTATTTATTTAACATTATTGTAAATAATTGTAATAGAATAAGTTAAACTGAAATAATTTGATACAAATTTCACCCTAAATGTTGAATGCTTTGGTAGTAAAAATGTTTTGTGTTTTATATTCCGCGTCTAAAGCAAAAAATCGCACCACATTTTGAGGGCAAAGTTGCAAGACAGGTTGGAAGAGACGTGCCGCTTCTGAATAATGCAGGCCAGACGCCGCTTTTAATATTTAATTTTGGCGCAAAACGGTTCACAATGATCACCTCATTGTGTCGGGCAGCACCCCTTTAAACAACCCTTAAAGCTCTCCTCTCTTCTGTGGTGCGCTGCACCATCTCATTGTTGCTGCAACAATAATGACAAGATGCGCTCTCTCTCCTCGTCTGGCTGCCGTCTTGTGAAACAGCGGGAAGAAGAAAGGGAGTGGAAGTGCCGAAGTGACTCACAATCGTTCTCTCAAATGTTTTTAATTTCTGTACACCATGTTTCAAATAATGCCTTTTATAATTTTCTCCATATAAAATTTTAATGCAATAAATAATTGTCAAAAAGTTCATGAATATTTTTTAAAGCTTTTAATTTATGCAACTTTTTTATTCTTCATTATTGTTATTTGAAGAGATTAGGACCATTTTAACCTTTTAAAAAGCAGCATTGAGATGCTGTAAATATCATTTTCAATCAATTTTAACCTGCTTTCAACTACTTCTAACAGTTTTTTTTTTTAAAATTTGTCTGTTTTCTTTTTGAGATGCTTTTAAGAACGGTTTAGTTAGCACATTACTAGCTAGCCATGCTCAAGTTCAAGGTTTGAATAATTGCTGTGTGTAAAAAAAATGTTGTTTACGTCTCTCACTTTAGTCTAGGTTAGCATTATTAGGGCTAACGATTCTCTTTCTTGAGAACTTACTTGAAAAATTCATGGCTACTAAATTTTAAAATGTGGGTTCTCGTGATGCACAAAAGATGGTTTCCTGAAAAAACTATCGATAAACTAAGTTGGTTAAATTTCATATCTAGGAGTTGAATTTAATTTTGAAGCATTGACTTTTAAAACCCAATAAACAATGAAATTTTATATATTTTAATGGCACAAAATAAAATTTAATTTTTTTAATATTGTCAAGCTTTACATTTAATTTAAAAAAATTAAACAAATTTTTTTAAGAATGACGAGTGAGCAAAATAATTGCAATTAAATACTCTCTTAAATAATCAAATTTTCAATATTTTTATGCATATTTATTTCCTCATTAAATTTCATTAAATCATGCATGGTTTTGCGCCCATGTAGACAACGACCACATTATGAGCCGCAGCGTCTCTGCATCTTTTCGAATTGCCTCCCGAACGCCTCATTTTGCGCAAACGAGCCGCGAGATAAACAAGGCGGGCGATGCAGCTGCGGTGTGCGAATTTGCATAAAGTGGTGCAGGTGAAACTCGGCGGCGCGAGAGGTGGTGAGAGAGAGTTGCTCGTTGGATTCGGGAGAGAGCGAGTCCGGTGGTGACTCGGTCGGGGCGTGCGTGGAGGGAGGGCAGGAGCGCGAGCCAAGAGAGCCCAAGAGCAGTCAGTTTGCGGTGCGTTGCGTGCGGTGAGTGGCGTGCGAAAAAGGGCCAACCGAGCCCTGGCCCCAGGTAATCCGCGCGAACCTGGCCGGCGCACCTGTTGGGCCATGTGCTACCGTGCCCTTTAGGTCTTAGTATGGTGCCCTTCAGCGATGTCCTTTCTCTCATCATCTCAGGGTGCTTCCGCCTGCGTCAGGTAAACACACCAAACCCTGACTGTGCCGACCTCTCAAATAATTGCACCTCAACAAGCATCTCATTTTGTAGCTCGCTCTCTCATCAACTCATGAATTTTTTTAAAAAAATTTTCCAAATTCTGGCATGGGAGATGAAAATTTTTAAACTTTGAATGTTTTACTCAAAGTTTTTAATTAAATTAAAATTTTATTCTAAATTTCGAACATCTTTAGCATGAGAATTTAAATTTAAATTCATTCAAATCTTTTAAAAAATTTACAGAAATGTGTTGTGTCAGTTTTATTTTTATACCAATCTGTCCGTCAAAGCAGCGTTCGAATTCGTTTTGAAATTTACCTCTGTGGCTTTTTTAAAACTGCCCATAACGTCTGCCGAAACGACTTCTCATGCTGCCTCCTCATTTGCCAAAAAGTCAATCAGCAAGCGTTTCAGCGATTTAGGACTCGATAAAAATTCGTATTTGTGTCTGCGTGTCTTTCAGAGTAGGAACCGAAAACATCAGACCTGCCTAATAAAAAATTAACAGAAATAGCAACAAAGGAAAAACAGGAGCTCGTTTAGAACGCATAAAAACGGCGGACGCCTCGCTCAAATAATAACTACCGACCGCTAGATGTAAATAAAAAATTCCCAAAGCCACCAATTTCCACCTTTGAACTAAAAATTTCTAAACTTTTTAAAATTTGATTTTCATAAATAACTCTATTTGTGTCTCCGAGCCGAGTGCGAATTGTTGCTCGCGAGGTATTTTAGTGAGAAATTTATTTTTAATTTCGGCGCCCCCGGCTCAAAACAAGCCGAGTTCTTCTTCGTCTTCGCAGTAGCCAAAGGGTTGATTTTTTGCATTCCTCCGCCATTAATTATCGAGGAGCATTTGTCTGTCACACTACTTTTGTCGTTGCTATTTTTCGCAACGCCTGCGGCCCGACACAATATATGTGTCGCGATTATACTTCTTTTCGCACGCGTTTCGCTCATTGCCAGCCGAGCGCCGGCCAATCCGTGGTCCCATCTATAATTTGGAGCGCGCCGAGTCGTTTCACACACAAATCCCTCCTGGCCCAATTTATAATTAGACACACACACACTCTTTTTCGACGGCAGAGACTGCGCAACCCCTAACAAAAAAAGGCCACTTTTTGCCACTCCCGGCTTGAAAAGCGGAAGAACTAAAAAAGCCAACATTTGTGGCAGTAAATTGAGTTATGAATATGTAAATTTTACAAAATTTGGTTTATAATTAAAGATTTATGTTATAAATAACTAATAATGCATTATTTCCATTATTTTATTATTACTGTTTTGTTTACCCGTTTTCTAAATCCTGATAATTTTATTTAATAATGTTATATTATTGCAATCAGTTAAGCAGACGCTGAGAATATTAAATTATTTTTAATTTTATGATTTACTCTGATTTGTACAATTTAATCATCAAACTTTTTGAAATTGCATTGTAATTTCTTATCAATTAATTTTTATTTTGAAAAGGAATGAAACTTTATATTAATATATATTAAATTTATATTAAAATAATTTAATATAATAACATTAACATATTTGTCATTATTGAAACTGACGTAAAATATAAAATTTAATAAATGGAAATTTATTATTGCTAAAAATAAAATTTAAATTTAAACAATTTTCAGTTGAATCAAATATTTTGAGTAGAATTTACTCACAAATTGAATAAATGTAGTGAGAAATTTAATTTATAATCCAATTATAAAGAAGCGCTTTTTCAAAGATTGAATTGTATATTATCTGTTTTATTTTTTATAAGTTAATAATTAATTAAAATTTAACTTATGCTCCGCCTCCAATTTCAATCGCTTTCCTATTCAAATTATATTAATTCTTAGCTTCCTGTAGAATTTCAAGTTAATATAAATTGATACAAAATCTTGAAAACAAGAACCATCTAATAATTTTTAATTTCAATTTTTCGAAACTAATGATCCTGTGATATTATCAGCACTTGTTCAATTTTTTCTAACAATTTAAGTATATTTAAAGCTTCCTTCGTCAGGGGAATTTAATTTCATCTAATAAACATTGAGCATATTTGCAACTGTCTAAATGGAACTCCTCTCACGATGAACATAAAACTAAAGCTCTTTGTACCGACGCAGAAAAAAACTTTAAAAACATTACAGCCGTGCGTACTTTGGGGGATTGAGTAAGCGCGGCGAGCCAACGTGTCCCCTTCGCGAGAGACAAAGAGTATTTTGTGCGCTAATAAGATCCGTCCGTATAAATAGAGTGCAGTGAGAAGCGGCGGGCATCGTTTATTATTGTTCTCTGCTTTTACATCCGCCGGTACGTGTGTCGCTTCGCAAAATGACTTGAGACTAATTCAGTGCCAATTCGAACGCAAACCGCGACTAATTCGTTAATTCGGCAAATCAGCGGCGCTGAGTGATTTCTTTTCTCGCGCGCGCGGCGCCGGTTATTAAGGGCATTGTTTGCCGGGCTAATTTATTGCTCACACCGCTCGCGATCGAGAGCCGAATACAAATTAGACAGCGCCAAGCTGCTCGGAACGTCCCGACCCCTCAAATCCTCCTCGCTCCCTTGCCAAACTCTTCTACTTGTTGTGCTCTTTTGATCTATAGTTTGATTGGTTGTTAAAATATATCCACAAAAATTATTATTAGAATTTTAGCAAGTTTTATTAATTAGAATTTTTTATAGAAGTAAGAATTTCCTATCAAGATTCTTCCTTATTAGGACAGCAATTTTGTTAATTAGATTTTAATTTTTAGCAAAGAATTTCTTCCAGGAATAATTAAATGTTTGTTTAATATCAACCGAGCTTCACAGGAATTAAAAAATATACATTTTTTTCAATTACAAACAAGTTCCTGTCATTATTAATAAGAATTATGTTATTATTAAATTCTTCAATTTGTAATTTCTTGGACAAATTAAATTTTAATTAAAGGAAGAAGAAGGAAAATTTCCTATAGTGTTCTTAAAATTAACTTCTATATAGCAGTGAATTAATTAGTGTACAGAAATAACTTAATTATAGTCTTTAAATTTTGAGTAGAATAGTTTTACAGATAATATTACTAGTTAGGAAGTATATTAATTAATTACAACACCTCTATGGACCCCTCGCTTGATGCAAAAGCGAGCCTCTCTCCGATTTTTTCTAGATTTAAACTAGGTCCTGTCTGTGTGTCTCGCGTAGAAGTTGCACCACGTAGACAGAGTGCGTATTTTGGGTGAGAATAGTCCTCTCTCAGTTGAGTCGGTAGAATTCTCTCAACTTGACCTAAAATTAAAACGACTGCAGCCTCTAAACAAACAGAACTCGGACAGCTTACAAATTGATATCTTTTCCTGAATAATTACAATTATTATTAAAAAAAAATCAATTTAGACTTCGTAAACAAATTTTAGAAATTTTTTTGCCATTATTCATTCAGAGATTTCTCATTCTTTAAAAAAATTTCAATATTTGAATGCAAACATTTTACACAAATCATCTATAAAATAAAAATTAGTTCAATTAATTTTATAAAAAAGAAAAAAATATGATTATAAACCAAAGAGTTGATAAATGTGTTTTAAAAAATATAAAATTAACAAATAGTCAGTTATGTAAATTTGATTTGAAATTCAAAATTAAATTGAATTAATCAATTTAAAATATTGAACTTTTCGTCCAATGTACCCTTTGATTTAAGAGCGCCATTTAGGGAGCCGACCTGGTAGCAAGCTGGGGCCCTTAAGGTCATCCGTTTTGAGGCTGTCAGTAGTTTTAATCGGCGCAAACGGCGTGACTGAATCCGCTTTTGAATTGTGTTTAGCTGGAGTGGCGACGACGCAGCACGACTTGACGGACCTGAGGATCGTCAGCACAGCCCCAGAGGAGGTGTTGATTGCGCGGCGGTATTTGCAGCGCCCGGCGGCTCTCGCACAGAGACCTTTAAAGGTCAAACCCCTGCTTAATCGCTCTCACATTTATGCCAATGCGTAAAGTTCAGCCCTAAACACGTCCACGCGGCGTGTCGGCGAATATATTCTCTCATCGGAGGCTGTGCCGCATTGTATCAAATATTCACACCCCGCCTATTATATTACACACCCCTGAGCGAGCCCCGTGCACACACATGGGACCAAAAAAACGCCGTTTCCTATCTAGCCGGAGCAAGCAAAAGACGACAGACGCACACTATTTTTTTTGCGAATATTCAAATGGAAAAACGTGTACCTGCTTGAAATTTTTCACCGACAATCAGATAAAATTTTGAACCAACGTGATCGCTTTCGGCTTTTAGTCTCATTCAAATTTCAGGTCTATCGCAACCTTGTGATTCCATTTTACAAAATGACAAAAAAAAATTACAACAAAGGCAAACTATGGCGGTTCGAAGCCTTTGCAAAATTCTTGCTATTGCTTTTTGTCCTATAATTCAATGTTTTCCTCAAAGCAGTGGATTATTTTAAAATTCGTGAAATGTCTTAAACAACAGAACAAATGAACGACCGTATTAATACGAATGAGAAAAGAAAATTAGATTTTGGAAACATTGTTAGAAAGTTTTTTGATATTAATTAAAAGTAAATTTTCATCGTGTCATTATAATTTTTGACACAAAAGCCGCTTTTAAATTAATTTTTACTTTTTACCTTAAAATTTTAATAAAACAAATTCTATTGAATATCTCTGATTGTCTCTGACCATGAAAATAAATACTTATTTTCATGTTAAAACGGAGAGCAATTCCATATTATGTATTAACACTCAAAATAAATCTCAATTCGAACCGTTTCTACCGTGTACGGCTGACTTATTGCCAATTTTGGCAGGGTTAAACAAGTAAATCAGACTTAATTATGAGCCTCAAATAAGTTAATTTGCAAAGCAGTAACAAGAAGGGTACTTACTTTTTCTGTCTCCAAGTCTGACTCGCCGATTGTCGCATATTTCAAGCCGAATTTGGGCTCAATCTTCACCCTGGCGAGGCTTGATGCAGATGCACT